AATGTTCTTTTTAGCAACATCATATGACCCCTTTAATGCATTAGACATCATGAACATTTTTTTTTTTACTACATTTAAAAACATTTTTTTTTTACATTTAAAATTAAAAAGTGGAAAGATTCTAAGGAATGTTGATTCCCCCTCCTCTTCACTCTGCTGACCCACGACTGCACACCGTCACACAACTCCAACCTCTTCATTAAGTTTGCGGATGACACGACTGTAGTGGGTCTCATTAGCAACAGAGATGAGACAAACTATAGGAGCGAGGTGAGCCGTTGTTTACTTCACTGGTTTGAACTCTATCTGCCGTGTGCTGCTTTATATATATATATATATTTTTTATTTTTTATTTTTATTTTTTTTTTTACATTTTACCTTATTTGTATATTTGTATAGTTGTATTTTATATTTAATCTGTATATCTGTATTTATGTTCTACTGTTAGTGTTATCTGTATGCACCAAGGGTCTGAGAGTAACGCAATTTCAATTCTCTGTGTGTATGTGCTGTACATGTGGAAGAATTGACAATAAAGCAGACTTGACTTGACTTGACTTGATGTTGTGCATGCATGTTTGCCTCTGTGTGTGATACAGGACAACAGTAAAAGAGCTAATAATGTATGAAATCATATGCAAAAAGGTTAAAAGGTTATTACAAATATTTACATTATCTGGATGAGCCAAAGAATTATATCCTTTTGTGAATGTTTTCTGATATTATAGTTTTATTTTCACGCAAAACAACGGGCCAGGAAGCAGCTTTCAGTTTCGTTTCCGTGAGTGTGGGTGGGGAGATATTACACCACAGACAGCTCAACATGGTGGAACCCGTCCACTTCCTGCTGTTCAAATAATGCAGATGATCGACAGCCTCCTACATGAAATTACTCTTACAGAGCATTCCAGAATCTGATCGGCTAAGTGAAAACAGCAGTGGAGATAAAGAACGTCAAGGGCAGTGGTGGAGGGAGGTAACGAATTACAACTACTCACGTTACTGTAATTAACGTTACGTAGTTTTTTCGGGTAGGCCTACTTGTACTTTTTTTAGTATATTTTTTTAAAGCTGTACTTTTACTTTTACTTAAGTACAAATTAAGCAAAATAATCTACTTCGTTACTGTTAAATCATAGTTCGTTACTGAGTACGCCCACAAGTTGAATTGATATTCAAACCTTTGACGGCACTTCGTAAAAGGACCAATAAAAGCCCTGATATCTGAACCGTGAAAAGCTGCCGCTGCAGCAGTGTTGCCAACTTAGCAATTTTGTTGCTAAATTTAGCAACTTTTCAAACTACCCTAGCAACTTTTTCTTCCAAAAGCACCTAGCAACAAATTTAGCAATTTAAAAATATTATTTGGCAACTTTTAGCAACTTTTGATAAGTGGCTCGGACAATAAAAAGGCACATCCAAATTACACAAAAAGAGGAAACCACAGATGCCTAGCAGTACACACATCACGAGAATTGAGTTAGCTGCTATTTTCAATTTAATAATAATAATAATAATAATTGAATAATTGTTCATTTATGATACACTTTGTTAGTAGCTTGTACCTGCGATTGTTGATCAGTCAGTACACTGTAAGAAAAATGAAAAATCTTCCAGGACATTATCCATCATCCATTGTAACCCTGTAACCCGAAAACACAATGCGTAATTTAAAATGCAGGTAAAAAAACCATTACGGAAAATTCTTTCATACTAACATAGTAGATTGTGCCTTATTTTTTACAGAATTTTCTTAGAGTGTAGCATACTAGCTAACTACTAATACACTGCTTAAAGCATAATTGTTGAGAATGTGTAGAATTACTAGTTTACTAGCTATTAAAAAACTTAAAATTGTAATAATTAAAAAATGTGTAAGTGTACAATAATTCAATGTATTTAATAATAGTTATTCATATTTTAATATTATATCATGCATGTTACAAACAAATCTAAATTGACATGTATAAAACCTTCCTTTAGCAACTTTCTCTGAAAATTAGTTGGCAACACTGCGCTGCAGTAGGTTTTGAAGAGCTGATCAGACAGTGAGGGAGCTTAGCGTAATTTATGGACTCATAAAGTTTGGAGAAACAAACTACATGGTAGTGTTATCATCATAAATATCTATATTTTGATACCGAAATATCTGACACGGTGGTTCCATTACTCATTTTCCACAGTAACCTATCTACACCGATACAAGCTGCGTCTCTCTCTCCTCTCCGACTTACATTACAGAGTCTGAATGTCAGCGCAGGATTGCAGATAGGTATTCCGCATAATTTTAATCATAATCGCGCAAATGTGGCTAGCGCTTTATTGTAACACGAGAAGAACACAGTCATGTAATCGCAGAAAACTGGATGCGAGCTCTCAAATACGCCTGACTTTCTACAATATTTAGTAGTAGCTTATCAGTGGTGACTGTCAATTTATGTACATATGGCAGAAATGTACGGAAATATAAATTAAAGACGCAATCAAACAGACGATGAACACTATTAACAGCAATTATTATATGATGCAATCAAACTTATAGCAAAGTGTGGTAGTTCTGTATGTTGTTTGAGGGTTGGCATCATCTGAGGTCCTCTGAGGGGTTGGCATCATCTCTTCTCAGGTGTTCTGGATCCAGACTGAAGCTTGTGTAAATCCTAGTTACCACGGGGCAGAAACAGAAACAAATAGAGACATAATTAGCGTAGCTGTTGTTCCAACCAAGCAAAATTGATTTGTTTAACCCCAAGCTAAAGAATAATAATGTGCATTTGATCAGATATAACTGCAGTACAAGATTATGAGATGCAATTGTGGAGGTATGCAAGGGCTCGCAAGGTATGCAAATTTTGAAAGGGTTTTTTTTTTTTTTTTTTTGTGGGTGCATTAGACGCTCATTGGCTTATCTCCACCTATCAGCTGCGAGCCCGCCTAACAAGCGTCGCTATTGGTTGGGAATTGTGTGTGTTCTATCTTCGCTGAGTGTGTAACTTGTACAGGTTGCTCATAGCCTCTCTCACGGCGGGATTGAATATCGTTCCCATAACGGAGAAATATCTCCGTGATGTCTCGTGAAAGCTCGAGAGGGAACGCTCCGGTTACTATCGTAACCTCGGTTCCCTGAGAGCGGGAACGAGACATCACGGTGGTCGCCGTGTTCGCTGCTCGATCAGCTAAGCTGCGTTCAGTATCAGATTCTGACGTAATTGTCGCGTGCACCGCATTTTATACTGCCGCTCGAGCTCGTCAGTATTTGCATGCGATTTGCATACTTCGCGTCAATTGGCCAGTCATTTGGACTGGCGGGAGCCAATAGGAATTCAGGAAAGGTTGGAAGGGAAGGAGTTCCCATAACGGAGAAATATCTCCGTGATGTCTCGTTCCCGCTCTCAGGGAACCGAGGTTACGATAGTAACCGGAGCGTTTTTTTGTGACTTCTTTGATAAGATGTGGAACAGCATTAGACAAGCGTCGAGGTGAGCTGCCGAGAAGCTGGACCGAGCTTGTGCTGTCGTGAGTTTTGACGGAGTCTGATCGCCGAGAAACTGAACTGCGTGTCTGTGATATACCAGGAGGGGCATTGCTCATCGTGCTAGCTGAGACGGTGTGTTGGCACGAGTGTTCGTCTTCTACGGAAGGGAGCCGAGATGCTGTGAGTTTTTCTTCACTGCTGTTTAACCACAGTTGATATTCTGAAGAAATACGCGGACGTTATTTGTTGTTTTTGAAGCAAAGCAGCTTGGATCGAGTGATTTGGCTACTGTCGTTCGAGACAAAATCGTTTTTGATACAATAGTCCCGCCGTGTGGACACAAACGGCATTGCGAACACATTGAAGCTCTTCTTTTGACAATATGTTTACTTCTATTTTTCATAGTTTATTTTTGGACGTTTTGCAGTATTTTCACTTAGAGACTTCGAAATTATTTTTGGATGGACTTGAGAACTGATAACTGAGTTTACTTGAGTGAATGAATCCGAATTACGGTTGTTGTTTTTTTTGAAGGGACTGTCTCGTCTACCGGAAACGTTCGTAGAAATATATTTTTTCCCTTATTATTTATTCCTGAACATTATTTTTCCTGTGTTTAAAGAAAAGGAAGAGACTTTATGTTTTTGAACCGGTGGCTATTTGTCTGATCTAATTACCCTGCCATATCTGGACACTCCAACACCAGCCCAGTTCTACTGTGAGGTAAAACTTTAACCTGTGAATGTGAACTGACATGAAAGATATCTGATGTGGAATGAAACATCTGTAATGCACTTTTGAGTGAACTAAGTACCATTTGAGCGTTCTATCAGAACTGTTGTTGTTTTTCTATTTTTGTTTTAGTATTATTGTTGAAAGAAAAGAAACCGAGCAAAATTTTATTTTTAATTTTTTGCACATTTCTTGGTGAAATCATAAGAAAAGTGAAACAAAGATTTTATTCCATGACTATTGTTTTCTTTATTTTCTTTATTCTTTACTAAGCATTTAGGAAATAAGTGTAAAACTTCTGTTATCTTGGAGTAGGGGCATTCCTTCTGTCTTGTGGGCTGATAGAGGGGAAGAGGGGTTAATCAACGCCATTATACTCTGGGTGGCTACCGTGTACGTTATTAAATTCCAGAGCCTCAATCCTCATCAGTCACTGCTACTAAAGAAAAAAAGCATATTTAGCAAGGCAGATAAAAACATACTTAAATAAGTACAGGAATTAAATGTACTAGGGGTTGAAGACCTAGATCTTGTCATTTCCCTAGTCGTCCAAGATATATTGTAGCAGAAGTTAAACTCACCCCTACATTGTAGTGAAATTCCCCGCTACACATTGTTTACAATGCTTGGCCAAAGAGATGTGTCTTTAATCTATATTTAAACAGAGAGAGTGTGTCTGAACCCCGAACGTTATCAGGAAGGCTATTCCAGAGTTTGGGAGCCAAATGCGAAAAAGCTCTACCTCCTTTAGTGGACTTTGCTATCCTAGGTACTACCAAAAGTCCAGAGTTTTGCGACCTTATAGGAGCGTGATGGATGTAGTGTGGTAGAAGATTAGTTAGGTACGCAGGAGCTAACCCATTAAGGGCTTTGTAGGTAAGTAATCATATTTTGTATAGCCAGTGCAGAGACTGTAAAATTGGGGTAATATCATATTTTCTTGACCTGGTAAGGACTCTAGCCGCTGCATTTTGGACTACCTGTAGCTTGTTTATTGAAGATGCAGGACAACCAACTAGCAGTGCATTACAATAGTCCAGTCAATGCATGAACTAGCTTTTCTGCATCAGAAA